AAAGGGTACAAACTGTACCAAATCAAGTGTACACTACCATTGGAGTCACCAAGAGCCAAACAGATGCACTAACAACCTTAGTCGACGAAGACAATGTTAATGATTGTGCCTATCATTTCTGGTCTGCCCCAACTGATAACACAAATGAAACAGTTGTATTATTAGAACGAACCTCTTGGAGGGTGAAAGGTCGTTACATTGCAGAACCAATAAATAATCCATCAAGTTTCGAGAAAGGAAGTACAAGTGGTACCAAGAAGGTTCAAAGTGAAACCAAAAATACAAGCGAATCTCACGCTGAAAGAAGCGAAACTTATGCAAGAAAATCGAAAGCGAATGTGAGTATTCACAAATCATCCAAACAACTTGCAGAGCGAAAATGTCAGCGAAACAGGAGATATCAGAAAAATCTTAATGAGAGGAAGCAGTTTTTGCAATCCCAAAACTCCAACTACATGCGTAAAGAAAGCGCTTCCAATCAGAGAGCGGATGTGTATTCGCAAGTGAACCCCAAACAATGTTCACAGTGTCATTCCTGTGTTTCACAAAAACGAAAGGGGAGTCTCACTTACATGTCATCATTGATGGGTTTCATGTATAAGAACAATCCTATGTGCTCATACAAACCCTAATGCTTGGATCTAGGTTTCTCTATTGTACATGCAATGAATCCAAGACTTATAAAGCCTAATCTATCATACATATATAAAAAACCTAAGATATAGAATCAGATCTAGATGTTTACCTCTTCAATGGAATCTTGATTCTTCTTTCTTGGAGCATAGAGTCACAATTGTAACTCCTCTAATGGCTTACAAACACCACAAGCAAGAAGGAAACTATATGAGAGAGGTGGGAGGATGCTAAATTTGGCCCTAGGTTTTCCTTGGAAGCAAGTGGCCGAATTTAGGAGCTAGGGGTCCCTATTTATACTGCTGGATGCTAGGGTTTCAGTCAAAACCCTAATGGATAACTTAGCCATCAAGCAGCCCAAGGAACCTTCTGGAATAAGGCCCTTGGACGAAAATATGATGACCCTTCATCATAATTTCATTCCCCCTTAGTCCATTAGGTTTCATTAGCCCAAAACTTAACTATCATACATTTGATAGTTTATACCCCTTTATTTAATTAATCTCTTCTAGTCACCAAATTAATTCCTAATTAACTTATGACCAATATTAATTAAATAATATGATTTATATTTTAATACATAAATCTTATAATATATTAATAAATCATAATTTCCCCTATCTCCTTAAATTACCTTGTCAAGTTGCTTTAGTGAAGGCAACCCAAAAGGACCATGCATGACCGGGTCAAGTACATACCAAATATAGTTACAGACTTAGGCACTAATCCAATAGTCTCCCAATTGGATAAGTCTAGTAACTATATCTCACATATGACTTCAGGATCCGATTAGCAATCGTAGCTCTTACACGTCACTGTCAACTCTGATCAGTAACTCGTTATTCAGATAAGGGATCGTATAATCCTCTGTTCTAGATATCATGCTAACAATACTTATTGTCCAGCACTTTTTTCTCGATCTCTGATTTGTTCGACATAGAATTTAGTTGAACATATCAACTACGTTCTGATCGGCCTGGCACATAAGTCAAACCAAATCATCAAGTGGCCAAGATATCACCTTTATTCTCGCAGAATAAAAGGAACATATTAACTTCGACTCATATGCATCTATTGTTTACCAGTTAAATCATGCACAACAATGTGTTTTATAAAATCAAGTTACTAATGCGTTTACACATCATTAACGCATAACCAATCAGTAAACAATAACCATATCTCTAAGTTTTAAGACTATATGATATTATCGCTTTGCGATCACTTTAGGTAAAACGCCACGAAGTGATACCTGCAAACGTGGGTTTATTCTAATGCTCAAATCATATTCATGAGCACTCATGAACTTTGCAGCAAGCCTTTGCTATGCCCAAAACCTTTTAGACAATCTACAAACAATTCATGACAGTCTTCATTCACACCTACTTCCAAAATATGAATGACAGTGGACTGTTTGAGTAATCTTATTATTCAGGAAGTCAAAACATGTAAAATTGAAACAATAAATAAATAACCAACACAAGATAGTAGCTTTACTCATAAATAACACAACTTTATTTATTCATCAAAATGTCAAGTAGAAAATATCTATTACACATTTCTTATCTATCTAATCCAAACTTATATCATCCTTCAGCCCAATGCTCCTAGCGTGCTGCAAGTGTTTGACCCTACTCAGTCCCTTCGTAAGGGGATCTGCCGGGATTTCTTCTGACGATACCCTCTTCACAACGAGGAGTCCCTCTTCTACCCGATGTCTGACAAAGTGGTATTTTCTATCGATATGTCGAGATCTACCATGATCTCTCGGTTCCTTGGTTAAGGCAACCACTCCTTCATTATCACAAAAAATTTCCATTGGCTCCTTTATGGATGGCACAACTCCAAGGTCTCCAATGAAGTTCTTCAACCATATAACCTCCTTTGACGCTTCACTCGCCTCAATGTACTCTGATTCACACGGTGAATCAGCTACGGTCTCCTGCTTGGAACTTTTCCAAGTCACTGCTTCTCCATTTAGGGTAAAGACCTAGCCCGACTGCGATCGGTAACTATCTCGATCCGTCTGAAAACTAGTGTCACTGTACCCTTAAGTCATCACTCCTACCGAGGACTAGAAACCATTCCTTGGTCCTTCGTAGGTACTTAAGAATATTCTTAACTGCAATCCAATGAGCTCTACCAGGATTCCCTTGATATCTGCTGACCATGCTCAAAGCGAAGGCCACATCAGGGCGAGTACAAGTCATAACGTACATGATAGAGCCTACTGCGGAAGCGTAAGGTACTCATCTCATATCAGCTATCTCTGCCTCTGTACTCGGGCTGTGAGTCTTACTTAGTTTGGTATTGCTTTGGATTGACAACTCCCCTTTCTTGGAATTTTCCATACTAAAACGCTTTAGTACCTTATCCAAGTATGTATCCTGACTGAGTCCTATCCGTCTCTTTTCCCTGTTTCTTGCTATCCTTATTCCCAGAATATAAGCAGCCTCTCCGAGGTCCTTCATAGCGAAACATTTCCCAAGCCAGGACTTGACCTCCTGCAATGTCGGGACATCGTTTCCTATGAGTAGTACGTTATCAACATGCAATATGAGGAAGCTCACTATACTCCCACTGGCTTTGACATATACACAAGATTCATCTTCGCTTCGCAGAAAGCCAAACTCTTTAACTTTCTCGTCAAAACAAAGATTCCATCTTCGAGATGCTTGTTTCAATCCATAAATGGATTTCTCAAGCTTACACACTCTATTTGGTTGCTTCGCATCGACAAAACCCTATGGTTGATTCATGTACACATCCTTAGCCAACTTCCCATTAAGGAAAGCGGTTTTCACGTTCATCTGCCATATTTCATAATCATGAAGCGCAGCTATTGCAAGCATTACCCTAAATAGATTTTATCTTCGCAACTGGTGAGAAGGTCTCATCATAGTCAACTCCGGGAGTTTAAGTAAAGCCCTTCGCAACCAATTGCGCTTTGTAAGTGTGCACATTCCCATCCATGTCCGTCTTCTTCTTGAAGATCCACTTGTACCTGAGTATCTTATGACCCGATACATTATCAACCAAATTTCAAACTTGGTTGTCATACATGGACCGAATCTCGCTGTCCATCACCTCTTTCCATTTAGCAGACTCCAGGCCTGCCATGGCTTTGTAGCTGCTAGGTTCATCCAAATTCATTAGTGTCTCATCACTAATAAACGTATCCCCTTCAGTAGTAATATGAAAACCATAAAACTGGGGTTGAACACTAACACTACTAGAACGTCTAAGAGGTAAGGACTCATCAAAGGGCTCAACAGGAGTTACCTCCTCGGGTTGAATGCCAGTGTTAGAGGTTCCTTCATCGCTTTTCTCTTGAATATCTTCAAGATCAATTTGCCTCCCACTGTCCTCTTGGCTTATCAATTCCCTTTCTCGGAAAACTCCTCTTCTAGCAACGAAGACGACATTGTTATTCGGTCTATAGAAAAGATAGCCAAAAGACTTCTGTGGATAGCCGATGAAATAACACTTCTCACTATGATTTACTATGGATGTTGATTTTGATTGACTTTATTTTGCTGCTTTAGACTATTGGTTCATGATTGTTTTCAGTTAAAGTTAACGGTTTTTGGTTAAGAGGTGAAATGAATGATATTATATATATATATATATATATATATATATATATATATATATATATATATATATATATATATATATACACACACTAAAATTAACTTTTAAAATTTTTTAAATTTATTGTAATTTTTAGGACGTTATATATTTATTAATATTTGGTTATAAACAATGTAATAAACAAAATATTTATATGAAATTACCAAACAATTTTAAAATTATGTTAAAAAAATCTACGTTGAATAATATAATTTAAAGTAAGATAAAAATAATTTTAAAAAGAAAATCCAAAGTTGCACCATATAATATATACACAATAATTTTTAAGTCTGAAACATATAAACCAATTGATACGGATGGTTATTTAAAAAAAATAAAAATCCGTGGAAGTATTTCTATAATTTACTTTTTTTTTAACAATCATCTTTTTATATTTTTTAATATAAAGTAATTACAGTAATTAATAATCAAACTATCCATTTTTGATAGAAACAATATTATATTACCATAGATTTGTGCCAAACGACATGACTCCACTCCCTCTCATTGGTGGAAGGCCTAGTCGATGAACCCAGGCCGAGCCACGTCACGTGGGCACCCCTTCTCGCACGTGCCATGCACGTCCCGACAAAACAAACCACAAATCTGACTGCTTCCATCATCGGGTCAAGTAAGGTCCGATCGTCCACGTGGACTACTACTTAATGACCCATCCATTATCCACGTGGCACACCATATATTGCTCCCTCTTTATCCATCGAAAAATTACCCTTTCCATCTTCGTTACATTCGTACTTTTCTTCTCTCCACACAGAGAGAGAAAGTAGAGAGAGAAAATTGGGAAATTGTTGTTGATGAAACGGGAAACATCTAGGGTTTGTGAAATCTGAATCGGATTGCATCAATTGGTTTTGTTTTTTCTTGTATAAAATGGCGACGCCATTGACCGGATTGCAACACCGGGACGTTGGAGGTGGTGGTGTGGCTGTGATGGCGGCTTCCGGTGGAGGGGCGGTGAACCAGATGGATCCATCCAGTAGTAACCAATCTTCCAAGAAACAAAGTTCGCCAATTCATATCTTCTTGTTCTTTCATAAAGCCATACGGTCGGAGCTCGATGCCCTACACCGGTCTGCCATCGCTTTTGCTACTAATTCTCATGTGGAAATTGAGCCCTTGCTTAAGCGCTATCACTTCCTTCGATCAATCTACAAACACCACTGCAATGCTGAAGACGAGGTCTGTATATATGTTGCCTTTAATTCGTCAATCTCGAAAGCATATCGGTTTATGTATCATATAAGTGTAATATTTTTTAATTTTATGGTGATAAATGATGACGATGGTATATCTAAGTTCTTGAGTGGGATTCTCTAGCGTTGTAATTGTACGTTTAAAAATTCATGCCTATTTTGATGGAATTCTTTTCACATTCAAAGCTTAAGTCTGCCCATTTTCTCCAACCAGGTTATGCGAAGTTTATTTGCTTCTGTATCCAACCTATATTTGAGAATTAACTGGTGATTGATACCCAAAAAAATAAAAAAAGGTTCAAGGTGAGGTATGTCATGAGAAAATAGCAAGATAACGTTTGAAATGAAGAGGAAAGAGTTACACAAGTTTACACTATAGATATAAATTCTTGTATCTTTGCATTTGTAATAGCTTCTATTAAAGCTGTTAACTCCTTGAGTGTTCTGTTCATTGCATTTTCACATAACAATCCTTCTAATTTTCTTTATTAGTGGCTTTATTCTAAACTAATATGGTGCTATGTTGCATAAGATTTGTGGGCATATGACATGTTTAGTTCTTTCATACTTTCAGGTTATTTTTCCAGCTTTAGACATCCGTGTCAAGAACGTGGCTCGAACATATTCTCTTGAACACGAGGGCGAAAGTGTCATCTTTGATCAACTGTTCACATTACTGGATTCAGACATGCAAAATGAAGAAAGCTTTAGAAGAGAATTAGCATCCTGCACAGGTGCCCTTCAAACATCAATCAATCAACACATGTCCAAAGAAGAAGAACAGGTAATAACGTCTAACAAGTTTATCAAAGAATCATGTTATTCTCTCAATATACAAACAAAATAATTGTTAATTCTCATTTTAGGTGTTCCCCTTGCTCGTTGAGAAATTTTCATTTGAGGAACAAGCTTCGTTAGTTTGGCAATTTTTATGCAGCATTCCTGTAAACATGATGGCAGAGTTTCTTCCATGGCTTTCAGCTTCTGTATCTTCTGATGAACGCCATGAGATGCGTAATTCTTTATGCAAAGTAATCCCAGAAGAAAAGCTACTTCAACAGGTGAGTAAGGGTATTTTTGTCCATGTTCATCTTTTACTCATTTTCTCGTTTCTATCTGACAAATTACTTCTTATTCTAATTTAAGATTATATTCACGTGGATGGATGGTGCAAACGGTTATAAAAAGCGAAAAAGCTCTGAAGAGTGTGAGGAAGGGCATTATTGTCCATGTTCATCTTCCAGACCTAAAAAACGAGAATCTTTCTTAAGATCAATAGATGATTCCACAGATTCACTACATGATCGCCCTGTAGATGAAATATTACACTGGCACAAAGCTATAAAAAAAGAGTTAATTGATATAGCTGAAGCAGCTAGAAGGATACAATTATCTGGAGATTTTTCAGATATATCTGCCTTTAACAAAAGACTCCAATTTATCGCAGAAGTTTGCATATTCCATAGGTATGCTTACATGGCAATTGGACAAGTTTGCATATTGATAATTTGATACTAATTTTATCCTTTTGAATGCAGTATTGCAGAAGATAAAGTTATATTCCCTGCTGTAGATGCTGAGCTGTCATTCGCCCAAGAACACGCAGAAGAAGAGAGTGAATTTGACAAGTTTAGATGTTTGATTGAAAGCATAGAAAACGATGGAGCAAATTCATCTTCATCTGAATTTTGTTCAAAGTTATGCTCACATGCTGATCATATCATGTCCATCATCGAGAAACATTTCAAAAATGAAGAACTTCAGGTGAATGAGTGAAATAGTGAATCACTAGTCTTTCTTTTTATGACTTTTATATTTACCATAACGCCCTTATGTGATTTTAATTTCAGGTTCTCCCACTTGCACGCAAGCATTTTACTCCTAAAAGACAACGAGAGCTCTTATACCAAAGTTTATGTGTAATGCCTTTGAGAGTAATCGAATGTGTTTTACCATGGTTAGTTGGATCACTTACAGAAGAGGAATCAAAATCATTTCTCCACAATATGCATATGGCAGGTTTGTCTATTTTTCTCAAAATTTTCTCAAACCACTGTTTATTTATTTCTTCATTGTGGACTAAGTCTAAGTGTCTAACTCTAACACATGGTTATTGTTAGCTCCTCCTTCCGATATTGCCCTTGTCACCCTGTTCTCCGGTTGGGCTTGCAAAGGGCGTCCAAGGGAAATATGTTTGTCTTCAGGCACAACAGGTTGTTGTCCTGCAAGGGCATTTTTGGAATCCAGTAATGGTTGCAATCCATCTTGTTGTGCATACAATGATATGACATCTGAAGAATCCGGAAGGTCAAACAAACGGTCAAACACGACCCCACATCAAGAAACCAAAAACCATGGTAGTACTCGAAGCAAACAATCTTGTTGTGTTCCAGGGTTAGGAATGGAAAACAACAATTTGGGAACAAGTTCTTCGAAATCTTTACGTTCTTTATCTTTTAACCCTTCCAGTTCTACCCCTTCCTTTAGCTCCAGTGTTTTCAACTGGGAAACGGGTATAAGTTTGATTGACACGGAGGGCAATGGGCGTCCAATTGACACAATTTTCAAATTCCACAAAGCAATCCGCAAAGACTTGGAGTTTCTTGATGTGGAATCTGGGAAACTAAACGAAACAAACGAAAGCTTCCTTCATCAATTCAATGGAAGATTCCGTTTGTTATGGGGTTTATACAGAGCTCATAGTAATGCTGAGGACGATATCGTCTTTCCCGCATTAGAATCAAAAGAAACTTTACATAACGTTAGCCACTCGTATACTCTAGACCACAAACAAGAAGAAAAGTTGTTTGAAGATATATCAACTTCACTTTTTGAACTGTGTGAGCTTCATGAAAATCTTGATACGTGTGATGATAGTTTTAGGAATTATAATGAGCTGGCTACGAAAGTACAGGGGATGTGTAAATCGATTAGGGTTACATTGGATCAACATATTTTGCGTGAAGAACTTGAGTTATGGCCTTTGTTTGATAGACATTTTTCTGTTGAGGAACAAGATAAGCTTGTGGGGAGAATAATCGGGACTACAGGTGCTGAAGTGTTGCAGTCGATGTTGCCATGGGTGACCTCTGTTTTGACTCAAGAGGAACAGAATAAAATGATGGATACATGGAAACAAGCTACTAAAAATACAATGTTTACAGAGTGGCTTAATGAATGGTGGGAGGGAAGTTCTCCTTCTTCAGAGGAAGCATCACAAACAGATGCAAACGTTTCACAAGGTTTGTTTCTCATTGTTATTGATTTGTTTCTGGAATTTGTTTGTATTGTAATACCTGTTAATGATTTTAGGTGGTGATGTACATGAACATGAAGCATTGGATCCAAATGATTACACGTTTAAGCCAGGGTGGAAAGATATATTTAGGATGAATCAAAATGAGCTGGAGTCAGAGATAAGAAAAGTTTCAAGGGATCCAACTCTTGATCCCAGAAGAAAGGATTATCTCATTCAGAACCTTATGACCAGGTGTGTTTCATCTTACATCTTACTCTTGATTTTTTTTTTTTTGTTTATTTAGAGCGAATTACAAAAGTGGTCCTTGTGCTTTCTGATTTTTTTCCATATATAGTCCAAAATTGAAACCTTTCAGTTTTGATCCATATTTCAAGGTTTTGTATGGATTTTGGTTCTTATTTTAAGGTTTCATATTGATTTTGGTCCTATTTGGATATCGATTTCAGTCCTTATTTCAAAGTTCTAGGGACTGGAATTTATAAGAAACTTTGAAATTGGGACCAAAATCGCTACAAGACCTTGAATAAGAGAACCAAAAGCCGAAATTTTTAGGGATTAAAATCGATAGAAACTTTGAAATTAGGACGGAAGTTAATGCAAAACCAAAAACAGAAATTCCCAGGGACCGAAATTGATACAAAACCTTGAAAAAAGGACTAAAATTGAAAAATTGTTTTAATTTTGGACCAAAGTCGCTAAAAATCAGAAAGCACATGGACTAATTTTGTAATTAACAGAAAAAAAACAAAGTTAATAAGAAAAGATTCCAAGGACCAAAATGGATAGGACTAAAACTGATAAAGGTTTCAACTTTGGACTAAACAAGTTAAAATCAGAAAGTACAGGGACCATTTATGTAAATTATTACTATAATTAACTAAAACATAACAAAAAATTTGAAGGAAGTAAGTAAAAGTATAGGGACCAATAGTATCGACACGAAACCTTGAAATGAGGAACAAAATTGATTTAAACTAAGCACACTAAAAATCAGAAAGCATAGTGACCATTTTTGGAATTTACTAATAAAGGAAACAAGAAGTTCTATAAGACCAAAATTGATGTGAAAACTTTAAATAAAAACCTAAATAGACAAAAAAAAAAAAAAAAAAAAATCAATTTAAAATCAGAAAGCACGGGGACCATTTCTGTAATTTACTGGTTTATTAATCTGCTTAATCCACTTTCTGTAGTCGTTGGATTGCTGCCCAGCAGAAATTACCACAAGGAAGAAAAGGGGAAACGTCAGATAGCGAAGGCCTCCATGGATTCTCCCCATCATTTCGCGACACAGAAAAACAAATATTCGGATGCGAGCATTACAAACGAAACTGCAAGCTTCGAGCTGCGTGTTGTCAGAAGCTTTTCACATGCAGATTTTGTCACGATAATGTCAGCGACCACACAATGGACAGGTTTACCCTTACCCTTACCCTTTTCCATAACTCAAATCAAATCTTCTTCTCCCTTACCCTTCTGGTAATTCTTCATCATCACCATCAGGAAAGCTACAACCGAAATGATGTGTATGAACTGCCTCAAGATTCAACCTGTTGGACCGAATTGCTCAACACCATCTTGCAATGGACTTTCAATGGCCAAATATTATTGTAGCTATTGCAAGTTCTTTGACGATGAAAGGTAATTATTTATCATGGGTTTTCCTTTTTTTCTTTTTTGAACTAGCAACTTACTCTACTCCTTTTCTCTTTTGGTGTTTTGTTTTCAGGACAGTGTATCATTGCCCGTTTTGCAATTTATGTCGGCTTGGAAAAGGGCTTGGAGTTGACTTCTTTCACTGCATGACATGCAACTACTGCTTGGGGATAAAGCTGGTGGATCATAAGTGTAGGGAGAAAGGCTTGGAAACAAACTGCCCCATTTGCTGTGATTTTTTGTTTACTTCAAGCGCAGCTGTCAGAGCCCTTCCCTGTGGTCATTTTATGCACTCTGCTTGTTTCCAGGTGGGCCCATCATTCCCCTGCCTGCATTTTCTTTTTTCATTTTCTAAATATGGAGTATATTTTTCACATTTTGAATTTTTCTCATGTATAGGCATATGCATGCACGCATTACATCTGTCCAATATGCAGCAAATCCATGGGAGATATGTCGGTAAGTTAGTAGACAGATTTTTTTTTTCTTGTAATTTGCTATAAAATAAATAAGATACAGTACACAAAATGTTCAGATTTTTATGCTAATGTTTGATGGGTTGCAGGTGTATTTTGGTATGCTGGATGCTTTAATGGCATCTGAGGAGCTCCCGGAGGAGTATAGAAATCGGTGTCAGGTGAAGATTTTTTATATTTATTTATTTATAGTTATATGTGTAGCTTTTATTGAATGAATGATTGAGATGAAATTATTACTGTTATAGGACATACTATGCAATGATTGTGATAAAAAGGGGAATGCTCCTTTTCACTGGCTATACCACAAGTGTGGGAGGTGTGGATCATACAACACGCGAGTCATCAAAGTTGATCCAATTGCTCCTAATTGTTTAAACTGAAACTTTCCTTGCTTTGTGTCCGTTTGTTTGTGTATATACGTTAATTAATACAGTAGAGAGAAATCAAGAGCCAGAGAGAGAGAGAGAGAGAGAGAGGATGTAAATTGCAAATATCTTTTTGTTGCCAATTGCAATTGCATTGCATTGGTTTTTCAGCATATGAGCAAATAAAACCTTGGTGGAAGAATCAACACTTGGGATTTTGTATTGTAGGGTGGGTGGCTTATGCTAAAACTTCATCATCGTTATCTAGTTTTGTAGCCATCCCACAACACCATACGAAGAGATAGAACAAAGACTAGTTGACCACGAAAGCTTTATTGAAATCCTATTTTGAGCACTACTTTTGAAAGTTTATATCCTTGGTCATAAGTAGAATGCAACTTATGATGTCCACTCTTAGGGGGAAGCCACCCCAACCATTTAGGATGATGGAAATACCACTTACATTTAGACCTGATAAACGTGTCGTATTGGGACTGGTTGAGGTTGAAACACAGTTAACATAACATATATAGTCATAATAGCATCATCATCACATAGCACAATCCAAGGAAGATATATAGAACTACGTGTATTCAGATCCATATATTTCACCATACACAATTTATTAAGGTTTAAATTTGCGGTCGAATGGCCATCACATCAACTTAATCATAACCCTAATTTCTTTAATGCTCAGGACAATGAGAAAGTTTCAACAATCTTCACTAATGAATGCACATAGCCCTTTGCCACAAGTTGAATCTTGAATGTGTGTAAATTAATATCCGTATCGATATTCTTCTTGAAGATCTATTTACATCTGACAATCTTGTTGGAAATAGTGTCAAATGTTATTTAACTAATTGGTAATATTTTTAATATCAACACGGTCATGTTGGGTGGCCTTCATGATCCAGTTAAGTAATAAGGAATTAGCAAAAAACAAGACTGGTAATTTATTTTGAATTAATAAATTAATTGAAAATTATTTTAGAATTAACTATATAGTTTTTAAATAATCAAATGAGTTGAATATTAATTAATTCATTAGTAAATAATTAGAATATTCATAACCCTTGAGATATGGTAGGGGATGAATTCTAAAAAGATAAGCATAAGTCTTATCAGGTTTTTGAGTTGCTTATAGATTATGAGCCTATAAATAGAAAGCTAGGGATGAGGCCCTACATACTCCTAGCTCTTAAATTTCGTTCTCCCTCTTTTCTTGGTTCTCATGAGACGGAAATTATGACCCTTCTAGGGTTATTGAAAATTCCGTTCTAAGTCTTTCTTTCATAAAGCTTATATTTGCTAGTTGGCGTCATGAGTATGTTTCCTCTAGAAGGCTTCCTAGTTTGGCTCCTAATCATTCAAAGCAAAGTGGCTATCACTAGATTTTAAGCAAGGAACCAAGACGATCAAGTTTATATTTGCTAGTTGGCGTCATGAGTATGTTTCCTCTAGAAGGCTTCCTAGTTTGGCTCCTAATCATTCAAAGCAAAGTGGCTATCACTAGATTTTAAGCAAGGAACCAAGAAGATCAAGATCAAGAGGTTAGTATGTTTATAAGTTTTAAAGTAGGTTGCTATAATAGTAAAAACCTAGATCTTTAAGATGCATATACACATATGGTTAATTTTATGATTTTGATACGCTAACTAGTTTGTAGAGAATGCTATAAAACCCATCAGTGGCATCATATCAAGACTAATAGGCTTTAGTTATATGTATAAAAAAATTTTAATTTTTCGTAAGAGGCAGCACTCCCTGCTGACTTTTTGTTGAATTTTTTTTGGATTGGATAAGTTACTAATTTAAAATAATATTTAAATCTGATTATTTAAATGAAATCAAAATTCAAATTTGAACTTTAAGTATTATTTAACAAATAGTTAACTTTGTATATTTAAGATAAATCAGAATTGATAAATCCTTAAATTAAAATATTATTTAATTAGATTTAAATTTGAATATATAATTTGAATTTCAAAATATTATTTAACTAGAGAATTAAATTTGAACATTTATTAAGTCATAAATATAAAAGTTTTAAATTTATTATATAGTATGATTAATATATATATATATATATATATATATATATATATATATATATATATATATATATATATGTTATATTTACAACATGTTCCCTCACATGTTTAATTAAAACATTATCAGTCAACCCATGATTAGAGTCACCCGGTCTAATGCTATAAGAGTGGTTGAAGGAGGTCTTTCTGATTTTTAATGATGTTGGTCCTTAAAAGCTTAATAGCTTACCACCATCACCGTCTCTTTTCATTTGAGAGTGTAGTTAAGTTAAAAGTATTAACTTAAGTAATAAAAAAATTCCTGTTATATATATATATATATATATATATATATATATATATATATATATATATATATATATATAATTAAAAAACGTGAATCGTGTGTTACCCACGAATAATGCATATTTCCTTATAATCTGTTGATGGAGTGCGTGTGATTAGCCGACACATCAATTTGAGGATTATGGTTGGAAATGATGTGAGACTCGCAGATCTCAAGCGTAACTTGAGCCAAGCATCACACGCTTTTTGCGTGGTTGATTCACCATTTGTTCTATAATCCACAACATCTCTGGCATAGAAACAAAATAAGCACAATCCGAGATTAACATGCACTTGATAGTCAATGAATCTCAAATATCTAGGAGTTTCATTGGTGATTGAAACTGGCAAAGAGTATTTCCTGCCTAAATAACTTTGTGGTGTGTTTATGGTATCCTTTTACGACATTACAAAACCAAATATGGATCCTAGCCTTGTAAAATAATTCTTTAGGGTAAATTATTAATAAGAATAAATAAAGCAAACTAGAATGGAAATAATAATTGAACGATGTCCATAATTTTATCCATTAAATCTACTGCTATAAAACATATGAAATGAGTAGTTGATAGGAATCTTGTCTAAATTCGTAGTTTGGGAATAGTTCTCATAAAAAAAAATCATCCCTTAGTTAAATGTAACGACCCAAAAATCAAGGGTAAAAAATTCATTTTTAATATAACTAAAACATTGATACCATTTAATTCAAACATTTCAAATCATAGTCAAGCAAATCCTTTATCAGAGTTTATCCCAAAATCATTTGTTGCAGAATTCATAGGTGTGTGGGTTGCAATCCTTCCGAGCCCTTCCTTTCCAAAACGATGATACCTGAAACCATAAACAAACCTCTAAGCACGAAGCTTAGTGAGTTCCCCAGAGCATACCCCACACAATCCACATAACACATATCATATTAGCTGTAAAGCTACACATACCACATAATCCATGCATACATAAAACCTGCAAGAATGCCATGAGCTACCCCACATGGTCTTTACCTAGAACGGCCATGGGCTACCCTACATGGTCTTACATCCAATGCCATGGGCTATCCCACATGGTCTTTACCTAGGACTGCCATGGGCTACCTCACATGGTCTTACATCCAATGCCACGAGCTCCCCCTGGGGTCTTCCATGCAAGTATCACAAAGACATCTAGAATACTACACATCATATAATTACTAGCATACCACCTAGCATGAAGCTAACTATCATACCAAATAACATAAAATGGGCCGACCTTGGTGCCTTAGACCCATTGGTATGGTGAGAAGACTCACCTCGAATGCAAAAGCTCCCTGAAAGAATCCTTAGCCGCTGCCCTGTCCACTTCCTGAGCTATTAATACCGATCAATATACACAATTAGCAATTGGGTCCCATACCATAATCCTTAATCCATGCATGAGGTAAAATGACCATTCTGCCCCTGGCCAAGTATGATCCAACACTAAGGCCTAAACCAAAAATAAAAGTACAACACTATGTAGGCTTTCCAAGCCCACTAATGGCCCAATTTGCTAAATGGGGACAAATCCACCTAATGGGCCTTAACCTAAGCCTATTTCTATCCTAAAACATATGACCTCAGATGGTTCACTAAGGCCTAAAGGCCCAAAGTTCATTGCTTGGCCCAACCCAAGGCCCAAAACTCATAAGGCTCATATCTGATGAGTACGATGGGCGTACTTCTATGTACGCTAAGCGTACTAGCCAAACGATGCGTACGCTGCGCATACCTACATGTACGCTCAACATACTCCCCTGTTAAGCCATTTTACCATTAAGTGCTTAATACTCTACTCCAGAAGCTACAATCACAGATCCAAGTCCTTTTCAACTTCTTAATCCATAAAGTCACTGACTTGGTGACTTATATGACCCACATGAACCCAAAATAAAAGTATAACAATCTACTTCCATGTAAATGACCATAACTCTTGCATGAAACCTTAAAGACCTCCAAGATGGCAACTTTCTGCCTTAGGGACTTAAATAACATCAAGGGTGGCAGCCCCAAGTCTAAGAATCGAATTTGAACCATAAAGCTTTAACCTTGGGACCAAAAAGAAACCAAAACCCAAAAATGGTAGATCTAAAAGATGAATGATCAAGTTAAAAGCTTTATACCTTCATCAAGCTGAGAATGAGTCCTAAAAGCCAGATCCATAAGCTCCTCATTGATTCCCATCTTTGCATCAAACTCCATCTTCTTGAAAATGGATTAAACACCTCAAAAATGGACTCCATAAGCTCAAAATGCCACCATGGATGATATATGACAATTTTTAGGGTTTTGAGGGGTGAAGGCTGAAGATATTAGGGTTAGGTTATGAGATAAGAAGCTTAAATAGGGTCCAAGACCCTAAAATAGGGTTCTGATCTGACTGGAGTACGCCCAACGTACATATGGTACGCCCATCGTACTTTGGGGAGCATTCACGACCATATTTGGTCAGTACGCCCATCGTACTCCAAGGTAAGCCCAACGTAATACCTTCATCACTAGTACGCCCCGCGTACTCTTTGTGTATGCCCCGTGTACTCGGCTAAGCCTGGAAAACTACGCAACTTCCGAAGGCCATAACTTCTTCGTTATAAGCCTGATTCCAACGATCCTTATATCCACGAAAAGGTGACGAGAAGCTCTACACTTCTAACAACTCAAAAATTTCTTAATACCTTCCAAACAAAAATCCATTTTCCACAAAATCCTGAACTACCACTTTATCGAAATACCCTTAGGCTCCAAAACACGAACTGAACAACTGGATCACTTCTAATACATCACCCGCACCCAAATGGGCCTAGATCATTC